CGGCTCCGCCCCGCCCCGCAGCCACCCAACGGCGAGGGCGAAGGGGAGGGGCGAGCCGAGGCAGCCTGGGAAGGGCGGCCGCCCGGCCGGCAACCCCGACTGCTCCACGCACGGCCCTCGCTGCACCCCCGCAAACCTCCACACAGCTGTATACCCACATGCCTATTCGCACCCGCGCACACAAACCTGTAAATCAAACACATACACATACCTACACCACCCCCATATATATCTACAAATACACACACACCTACGCACACAAACCTATACACCCCTACACCTACCCCACCACACATGCACACATCTACCCACGCACACTTTAGCAATAAATCAGTCCAGGGAGGCAGTATGTTCCTGTCCTATCTAAATCTGCTTGGTTTCTGCCCTTTCCCATGGCCCTAGGGAAAGGGAGGTGGGAGCGGGGGCAGTCTACGCCAGCGCAGGGCAGCGCTTTGCTAGGTATTCATAGAATCATAGGAAATTTGGGTTGGAAGGGACCTCAGGAGGTCACATTTAGTCCAACCCCTGTTCAAAGCAGGACCACCCCCAACTACCTCATCCCAGTCAAGGGTTTGCCTCCCTGAGGAACCTTAAAAACCTCCAAGGATGGAGATTCCCCCACCTCTCTGGGCAGCCTGTTCCAGTGCTTCACAATCTTCCTCTTGAGAAAGTTTTTCTAATGTCTAACCTAGACTTCCCTTGCTCTAATGAAAGTTGGATAGAAACCAGCCAGAGAGTTGCTGCACATTTTCAAACACTTATTTTGTAGTTGGCTGGCTCTTTTATAGCTGGCTAGTCCCTTCTTATGGTGCAATTATTACTTTGCACGTGTGGCTGGCCTACATTTATTGCAAAATTCACCAGGAAATTGTGTGATAATTATTTTATACATGCGGCCAGTCGCCATTTATTGCGTGATTCACTGGCGAATTGTATGATAATTAGTTTGCACGTGTGGCCAGTCAATGTTTATTGCTCGAGGCACCAGTGAATTGTGTGGTTACTACTTAGTACACATGGCCAGTCAATGTACATTGCACCATTCACCAGTGAATTGTGTGATAGTTACTTGATAGGTCTGGCCGGTCTACGTGAATTGCATGATTCACCAGTGAATTGTGTCATATATGCGATGTGCAGCAGGGGTCTTGGAAACCAATGTTCCAAAAAGCATCACCTGTGGCAGGCACCAGCCAAGGTGGTCAGATGCTATGAATGGACTTGCTTGCAGAGAGGAGGGGGACTAAATAGAAAGGCCTGAAGCCACTGAAATGTAAAGGATAGGGTAAGGGGAAGAAAAGACTAGGGAGAGGGAGCACTGCTGAGAGAGGAAAAGGTGGGTTGAAAACCTTCAAGGTTGCAATAAAGTGTCATGGACATGGGTAGATCTATGATTTTGAAAAGGAAGGTGCAGGTGGTAAGGTGCATCATCACATATAACACAACAATATTTTTTCCAGGTAAAAAATAAACTAGAAGCTTTACTAATATGCTAGGGGCCTACGGCTGTATTATTCAGTTTACGATCAAAGCAAAACCAAATATAGCTGTGTTGGAATGTGCACTAATTTGCTATACCATACATTTGCTATAAATGCTCCAATATAAATACTATACATTTGCTCAAATGGTGCTACAGCCTCAACCAAGCAGCAGCCCTTTGTGAGGGGGAGTGTCTTGCCTTCAAAGCAGAGAAGAGAGAGCGGAGGAAGGAAAAGGGGATGAATCCCAGCCTATAGCCTACTCTCCCCTGTGGAAAGACCTGCAACTTCTGCAGACAGATTTGTGGCTCAAGGATTGAACTCTTAAGCCACCTCAAAACCTATCAATGAGCTGTGGTAGAGATCATTCTTGAATTGAGGAATTATCACTGCCGATGACATTTGCTATATAAAATGCAACGAAGTAGGCAAAAATAACCAGAAGATGTTGTTTCTTTAGTCCTGTGGTCATTAGAATTAACTATACACCTCTTTCACATTTATAAAACAAAAGCAAGCCTTTTTGAGCATCTTCACAGTGCATCAAATGCTTCACTGAAAGTTATTTCTACATCTGAATTACTGTTTTGAGCTAGGGATTAAAACTGGTCTGCAGGGCTGTGAAATAGGAGCTACATTAAGAGGAGCAGCCAACAGATAGCAGAGTTGCAGAAGAAAGAATAGGTTGATTAGTGGAACATAACCATCAAAAAAGGAGAGAGGGGCATTCACACCTATGGAATGAAGAGTTTATAAGGAATCAGGTAGATCATAATGAGCTATGAAGTCAAATGACTCCCTCGCTGCTGCCTGAATAGAAGTACTGTTGCCACTGCCAGGCAGTTTGTTTTAAACTTTGGGTGGACCAAGAATCAGAGGGGTGCAAGTACACCATTGCACCCTCCCTTTGCCCCTCAGATCTGTCCCAGGTGATGGAACACATGTTTCTGTAGCAATTGTTTTCTGTTAGGGTTGAAGATGCTGCTGCGTGGGGTGTGGGTCACTATTGCCAAATGCACCTGTTTGTCAGGATTCAGGGTGGGCAGCATATGATCTAGTATGTGCATCCCTAACAGAGACGAGAATGACAACAGCATGTAATTACATCTTTGATTTAGTTCAGGGATCAGCAACGTAAATCCAGGGAGCTGTTGGATTCAGCCCATAGAGCCACAGGGTTTACCTGTGCCCATGCTGGGTCCAGGCAACAAAGAGCTGCACTAGGGAAGGGCAGCTGGAAGCTCAAACCACCACTACTTCCCCCAGCAATACCCTCTTCCTCCTCCCACCACTCCCCAGCTACTGGGCACAGCCTCTAGCAGTGGGGAGCTGCACTGCAGCTGGGAGGCAAGAGAAGAAGGAAGCAATGGCAGCAAGGATGCAGCTGCCCAGCCCCAGTGCAGCTCCCTGCCAACTGAACAAGGGGCTGGGGGAAGTGTAGGCACAGCTCCCAGCTGCCTAGGCCTGGCACAGCTGCAGGAAAAGCCCCCTGCTATTGATGTGTCACTAAAGCCACCCAGCCTGTGTTGAACTGGAGCCAAGATGTTCTGGCCTGTGACTTGCTAAAGGTTGCCAGCTACTGAGTTACTCTATAAGATGCAAATCCACCCTGTCTTCCCAACAACCTGTGAAACATTTTACTGCCAATAGGGTACCAAGAGTAATCGTTTGCTTACTGGGTAAGACCTTTTGATCTATTGAAATGTTCATTGTATTAGATGGTACTTGTGACCTTTTTGACCTCCTTTCTCATCAACCCAACATGTAGTTTTGCTCTATTGTTCCTGTTAACATAATGTTTGAGGCTAGTGCACTTAATTTTAGGCCCCACTCTGATGTTGTACATACTGTAATAGACCCACTTAACACAACTATTGTAGGCATGAGGAAATGAATAAGTTACTGTGAAATAAATGAGAGCAGGACATACTTTCAATGAAAGACAGCTACATGACTGTGGATCAGCTTTCATTTACCCCCCTGTAAGAAAACACAGGCTTTTACTCCAAAGCAGCTGATGCACTGTGAATCCCTACCCTGGTTTAACTTATAGTACTTTGTGTGACCACAACCCTGTGGTATTGAGCCCCATCCTTTGTAGTAAAATGTTTGTAGGGCTCATAGTCCTTGATTCTGTAAATACTTACACACCAATGTATCTTTCTGCATGAGACCAGCCTTGTAAATGTCTGGGACTACTGGCATGTGTTAAGTACATTAAAAAAAAAGCCTTGGCAGGAATGGGACTTTAATTTGTGCATCAGCCCAGATTCTTGGATTGGGGAGACAAGGAAATGAACTGTGTTGAGTTTGGATTAATTTAGGACTTGATTAAAGTCCATTCAAAGCAACGGGCATCTTTCATGAAAACAGGATAAACTGCACTAGTGAAAAAATCATGACTGTTGTTTTTCCCTGTTACCACAGATAGCTGAATGTCAATTGCAACATTGGGTTAAATCCCTGGCATAGACAAGGCTTGAATTTAATGGAAGCTGAAGATCCTCAGCACCTCTGTTGGGACGTAAGTATGAAAGGACAGGATAAACAATCATCACAACAGAGAGAGAGAGGAGGAGGAGGAACAGATGGCTAGAATTCGTCTGATGTGTTGTGTTGCTTCACATTACCTAACTTGAATTGAGGGGCGGGGAAATGATTTTGAAATTAGATGTAAATTTGAACGTGTTCTGCTTAAGGGTAGGACATAAAAAATACATTCATGTTTTAGCCACTAAGAGCAACTGAAGTGCAAGGCTCTTCAGTGAGTAATTATGTTCCAAGGGGAAAACAGAACGAAGGTACCCAATAAGCATTTTAAAATCAGGGGAGGGATTTTATGATTTTTTTTTTATCAGGTGTTAAAGCAATGTGCTATGATTCTGTAAACCTCACCTTTAAAGTTGGCACTTTGAGGTTCAAATTATGCTAGCTTTACATATTCACAAGTCCTCTAATTTGGCAACACAGTCATGAATCAGGAGAATATGATTTCACTCTACTAAGAAGCATGGAAGTAAGTAGTATCAGAGTTTCTTTCTTGCTTTTGTAGTAGGTGTTGCAAGAATCTCAGTTAAAATTCACTGAGAAGTTCTGCTGTAAAACAGCATTTCTCAGTCCATGGTTTGCAACCCAAAAGTGGGTCACAAGAATATATGAAAGGGTTGCAAACAACCTTTAACAATGGATCAACACGCTTTAAAAATGGAATATCGTTTAAAGGAGAAAAATGTGAGAAACCATGGCGTTTCCCTTGCAGGCAGAGTTCCAGCTTGCAAGGGGCTACTTGGGGACCCCC